ACTGAGTTGTGGGTTTCTTTTTCCTTCTTGCTTGCTCTGCATTTTGTAACCATACTTGCCTAATGCCCTGAAGTTACACTAAGGTATAAGGTTACTAAAAGACATTAACTTTGCCGCAGTTCCCCTTTTCCTCTGCGCATGCGACAGAACTTTTTGCCGCAGTTCTGCTTTTAAAATACGCATGCACTAAACTTGACAGGAGATACTAACCAATAACGAACTAAGCCTCGCCCATAAGATAAAACATAACAACAAAAAAATTATAATACTGCCAATAGTTGTATGACACACTACAACCCTTTGTCTATATAAGCTATAAAAATATAACCTCGAGAGAAGTTTGGGGTCAACACTGCTTAGAGCATCAGCTCCTCTGTTGACATTGCTTGCGCAATCAATAAACTCATGATAAACCCACCCTGTGTGTGACTCTCTCCTAAAGGTGGAATTGGTCTAGCCTCCAGGGGCACAAAACTAGCCGTTTGGGCAACAAGAGTGCTATACCTCAATTAACTATTCTCCAAAACATGTTCTCTGATCAATGCTGCTTTGATTTCTGTGCTCAGTTCACAGTTAAAGCTCAATTACAACAGAAGAGTTAAGATATTTAGCATGAACTGCACATTCTTTTAAGAACTCTGTAACTAATGCTTAACCGACTTGCAAGTGAAGTGAGACCCTATAAAAACCTAAACGTCATAAGTGAATATAGAATTATAGAAGTAGGGTCGGAAGGGACCTTGTAGATCTTCAAGTTCGACCCCCTGCCTGGGCAGGAGGGAAACTGGGCTCAAGTGAGCCCAGCCAGGTAGGCAATATAGTAGGGTTAGACCAATTCCAAGCAGTTCTGAGGCTCACAAAAATATATATAAAAAAGGAAAAAGAATGTTTTCTGGCAGCCAATCCATGTTTGCATAACTCCTTTCATACAGGTAACAAGACAATTGTGCATGTTGTCACCATGTGCCACTTTTCTGGCATAGCAAATTAGCAGCAGAGTGAACTCCTGCATGTGCAATGCATGTGGTATCCCACCACGTTCAGATCCAAAGAGAATGGTCATTTCTGTGCTCTAGCTGTCTTTAAAGAACAACCCTGACAGTTTTAAAAGTCTGATGAATACCAAATTACTCCTCACTGTCAGGGGGCAATGGACCACTCTCTTATCTTTTTAGAAGATAGTCAGGTGTCACAATGATAAGCTCAGGATATACAGACAATCTTTTCCTTAGAGTTGAGAAGTATGCATTCGGCTCTGCTACTCTCAGCCATGCTGTGGAAGTACTGTTTAGGCCCTTCCATATCTATTTGTTTCTCACCCAAAGCTTGCTCCGCTCTATGGCCTTCCTGCAGCAAACCTTGATCAAACTAAGAAGCTCTCCTTTGTTGGCTATTATTAGCTCTCACACAGTTCGGCACTTAAAATAGCACTTAGATCATCAAAGCATTTTGCAAAGATGAATTAACTAATTAATTATTTCACTACATCCTCTTTTTGGCTAAGTGCAGGGTGACACCACCAGTGTAGGTGCTCTAGGAGTAGACTGCATCACAAATGCCTCACAAAGGACAATGCCTACACTGTGGGGCACCTGTGTATGTGATTTGTATCGTGGGAGAAAAGGACTGAAAGAAAAATAAATGGAAGAGGACGTGGTGCACTAGGGCAGGGGAAACCAGCATGAGGGGGAAACTGGAGAGATTGCCAAGTAATAGAATAATATCAGTCTTGTCCCAAAGAGGTGACATTCCTCATTCCTCCCTTACCATACTCAATTATTAGTGGTTTCTGGTGGGAAGACATTACCAGTCATTGTAAAACATCAACTGCTAGATTTGTAATGAGTATTGATTTTGAATCTTGGCTAAAACAGATGGGTAGAAGTGATCTAAGGACAAGGTTAAACAAAACTGCAGAATGTATATCTTCATCTTGCTTGATTCAAACAATGGTTCTACAGTACATAATGTAACACATTTAAAAACTATTATATACCTGCCATATTTAGGCAGGGAAAAATCTCACACAACCTTTAAAGAATAGATTTTGTTATGAAAGAAAAGCACATTGTCATGTGAAGTTTAATATTATTTCAGCTCTTCTTTTGCCAATATACTCTACTGTAGACAGCTGAAATTGCTGTAGTGGATTTAAACAGATATGGGAATGACAATGATAGAAAGTTAAAGGAACAAGCCAGATGGACAAAGGTAGGAATTTCCCCTTAAAGTGCTATAAACTATTAACATATAAGGCAACATATTACAGGCACAATAATGTCGCCTCCTCTGTAAAAGAAGGCAAAATTAAGTGGGGAGCCTTTCCTTTCACCAAGCAAGTGACAGGATGCAATCATTACCTAGGACACAAGAATGCACTGACAGATCAGCTGAGAAAATGTTCAAGTCTACCTTACACCTCCAAAAGTACATAATCTACAGGTTAGAAAGCTGTATTAACTAAGGTTATATTAACTAGTATATGTGCTCTCCTAGGAAAAAGTACCAAATGACTGATGATGGACAAGCCTGCTGCTTTTACTGAGAGAAGCAACAAAATTCCCATCACAGCAGGGAGCTCAACCCTCTGGCGAAAGGAACATAAGAAACAACTAAATTCCCACCTCAGTATGGAGGCCCCCCCCTGCCACCTGGAAAACTGTAATAAACCAGAACAGAATACTACATTTCTCCTTTCCTATCACAGTCTACAATAAGATTTGATTTAGATACCCTACATCACAAGTGAAAAAATAAATCCTATAGAAAGGTATGATATGTATGAAATTATATATTACATAGGGTGCATCCACACATGCCATTAAGGCAATGTGATAAATTCCAGCGCAGTTCACGCTGAAGTAAACTACTTCTGGAAACAACATTTCCACATGTGCCCAGGACTGCAACAGTTTGAGTCTGGGCTGGCAGCAGGGTCAGGGGATCAGCCCAGAGCTCAGGGTTATGGCATCAGGGAGTGGAGGGACTGGCTGTGGCACAAGAGCACCCAGAGAGCAGAGCCATATGGCTAGGCAGCAGGCAGGGGTCTGGCTGCCTGGTACCTGGGCTGACCAGGAGCAATGTATGTTCAGGTCAGCATTTGCATCTGCATTAAAGCACAGTTATTTTTGCCACCATAAGCTAAAACTGTCTGTGGCAGTATTATCTTAAGGCAGTGAAAATTAGTTTGCTGCGATCTAATAGCGTTGTACATGTAGACTGTGATGCTTTACACCATAGCAAATTAGTCTACTGCACAGTTAAGCACATGTGTAGATGTGCCCCTACAGTTCTAAAAGTGTTGAACATATAGACAGTATACGGCTCTCCTCTTGAAGCTGGCCACCGTACCGTGCATGTAACATTATTTGGAGAAAGTGCGTACACAGCACTGGGAAAGTTTATGCCTGTTTGGAACAAGGGCTAAGGCCAAAACATAGGGCCTCTTCCAATCTCAGACCACATCCATCTCTCAGAGTCACAAACCCTCTAGCTTGATCTCTTCCTCCTTGTCCCAGGTTTTTCCCATTTGCTGCCCAGTGAACCAATTTCAAGAGGTGAGTTGGAGAGGAGGTTGGGCTACATTTGGCCTATGGCATAAAGGGGGTCTAGAACTGAATCTTCCACTCCCTAGGCAAGTGCTCCAACTACCAGAATTTTGGTCTAAATAGCAAAAGGATTATCCTTTTCCATTGACTCCACTTTATTTTCAGCAGATTCCAGTGCAATTCCAAGTTCAACACAGGAAAAAAGAGAGTCCCAAGCTGTGCATACATGCCAAAAATACAATTCCATGCCTCTGGACATGCTATTTAGACATAAAAAGCAAAACAGGAATTAGCCTAGTGTGTCCACTCCTTGTTTACATGGGAAAGGCTAGGTTACATGTGTTCAAGCCACCAGTGAATAAAATGTAAGAAAAATATAAAGTAACATAATCATTCAGGGGAGAAAAAGCCAGGTTCCAAATTACTTTGTAAACCATACCCTCAAGAAAGCACATAATCTGCATCCCATTTCCATTTTGAAGCATTATCATTTGCAAAATACTTCAAATAATACTCCAGGATATCACAGGAAGGAACTGTACTACAATATAGAAAGACTGAAGAATAAACACTTGAACAGTATGCTTCAGAATGAATCATTAAGCATTAAGTTCATTCCTACCGTTTAGTATCAGTAGTTGTTGTGGTAGCTGCATTTGGTAGGGTCTGATCCTGCCTGTATAAAAACAAAAATGGTTCTTTTTAAAGAAGAAAATTCATTTCTGAATCCAGAAGTTCAGCAGAATACTGAAAATGTGGGGAATGTCTTTCATGAGATGGCTATACCTCCACAGTTAAAATTGTATAGACCTTCCCAATAAATGCCAGGTTTTATCTTACCAACTTCCAACAGCTCTTTCAAAACAAAACCAAAGCAGCTGAAATGTATCAGGCATCCTTCCATGACAGATATTTTTTTAAGTTTTTCTTGAGTGAAAAATGGCTATTTCAAATCACCCAGGTACACATTTTTGACAACATGAATTTAATAAAAAGCTTTCTACCTTTCTTACTATTGCCCTTTTTAAATTTTACCTAGAAACCGGAAGTGGTCTCATATAGACAGTGATCCCTGTGTAGTAGGCCAGCATAATCTTTATGCAACACCAAACTAAACCCTTTTTAAAGAATTCAATGTGTGTCTTACTGTGCAGGGATGAATTTTTATTTTTTATCCCATATCCTATTCTCTCTCTAAACTGTTCCTTTCATCTTTAAAGGTACTTACACAGTCTTCAGTCATCTCAAACACTAAGTGCAACTCTTCTTTACCCTGCTCAAGCCCCTGGAAAATTGTTAACTGATCTAGTTTAATAAAAAATACCTTCATCTTAGCCTTACATGTGTTCATTACAAAAAGTGAGGAAGAGGAGAACCTACCCCATCTTTTGCCTAATAGCTTAGTGGTTGCCTGGAAGTAGGAGACCAGGTTAATACATTTTGCATTAAATAGTCATTGGATAAAATGCATAAATCGCACTAGGAACAGGGAGCAGAACCCTTCCTCCTCCTGCTTGCCTGGATTTCAGCAGTAGATTCATAGATTCATAGATGTTAGGGTCGGAAGGGACCTCAATAGATCATCGAGTCCGACCCCCTGCACAGGCA